CTTCCTTCCTTCCTTCTTTCCTCCCTTCCTTTTCCCTCCCTCCCTATCTCCCTCCCTCCCTTCCTTCCCTTTTTTCTGTGTGAATCCACACACTGAGGATATTTTCCCATTGAGTTTTTAGAGAGAGTGGGAGGGGGAGAGAGAAACATCGATGTGATGGAGACACATCAGTTGGTTGCCTCCTGCACCCACCCCAACCAGAGCTGGGGATTGAGCCTGCAACTGAGGTATGTGCCCTTGACCGGAATTGAACCTGGGACCCTTCAGTTTGAGGGCCAGTGCTCTATCCACTGAGCAAACCTGGCTAGTGGATAATGTTTTTCTTTAGGTTGAAGGTGTATGTATGTATGTTTGTTCACTAAACTCAGACTTGCAAGATAGATAGTCCATTTTTCTATAAATAAACTGTGGAAAGTTCATTCTGCACCTTTATTCTAACAAATATGGAAAACAATGAATCAATTATTACCCTCTCCAAAATTGCATCTTACATAGAGCAAAGATAATGAGAAGGGAGAGTTGGGGACGTTTTATCCTTGTTGTAACCACTGAGACGTCCCAGTTCCCTACCTGACCATTGGGTATTGCTCTGTATAGTTCTCTGCAGCACTCACCCTTGCTTCTACTTCAAAGCCTGTTAATTCTTAGGAATGTGTTCATATTACTCTTGGACACATATTAATATTCTCAACTGTTTCCTGGGGAACTTGGAGAGGTTTTAGAGACTTGGCTATACAGATATTCCATGCGTGCACACACCTCTTATATTCCTGCACCATGAGGAATCTCTTGCTACTTCCTTGAGCCCTAAGATACGACTTTTCACAGCTGTTCAACCCCAAGACTCCTGGGATTCCGTAAATTTCTACCCTTCTTTGGAACTCTCACCCCCCACCCCTGATTCTGTTTATGGTACTCTTGTTCTAATTTCAGAATATCTTTCCTAAGAATTGAGTGTCCAGAGAGCATGGAAATTTTGCTCTTGTCATACATTCAATCCTTTTTCCTTATCCCAGGGTCAAGTTTTGAACTTTTTTTTCGTTGTAACCTAGTATATCATTGTTTCCCCAAGGTAGTAAAGGTGGAATGTTCTTCCTACCTGATTGGGGAAGTTTTTAAATGTACAGAAATCTGAGGGAGAAAGAAAGATATTTATGTCATGTTGAGAAAAAGAATATCCCACCTACTGTCATTCTTTTTATATTGTGATACCTCTCAATGCTTCAAAGCATTCTTAATTTGAAACCTCTATTTAGAATAGCCCTGCTTCTGGTGCCCGTCAGTCAGCTGAGTGGCGCTCCTGCTGTGGGAGCACACTGACCACCAGGGGGCAGCTCCTGTGTTGAGCATTTGTCCCCTGGTGGTCAGTGTGTGTTATAGCGACTGGTCGACTGGTAGTTCGGTCGTTTGGTCACTTAGGCTTTTATATATATATACTAGAGGCCTGGTGCACAAAAATTTGTGCACTCGGGGGTGGTGGGGTCCCTCAGCCCGGCCTATATCCTCTTGCAGTCTGGGACCCCTCGGAGGATGTCCACCTGCTGGCTTAGGCCCACTCCTTGGGGGATCAGGCCCAAGCTGGCAGTCAGACAGCCCTCGGGGGATGTCCACTTGCCAGCAGGGAGCAGACTTAAGCTGCAGTCAGACATCCTTACCCTTTTATTATATAGGATAGAGGCCTGGTGCACGGGTGGGGGCTGGCTGGTTTGCCCTGAAGGGTGTCCCAGATCAGGAGGGGGGTCCCGCTGGGGTGCCTGGCCAGCCTGGGTGAGGGGTTGATGGCTGTTTGCAGGCTGGTCAAGCCCCCCAGTGGGGACCCTCACCCCATGGGGGGTTGGCCAGCCTGGTGAGGGGCTGATGGCTGTTTTCAGGCTTCTCAGACCCCCTTCAGGGTGGGGGTCCCCACTAGGGTGCCTGGCCAGCCTGGGTCAGGGGCTGATGGCTGTTTTCAGACTGACCAAGCCCCCTGGTGACCGAAGCTCCCAGCCTTTCCTTTTTTTTATTCGCTCCAGCTCCGTGGCCATGGCGACTAAAAGCAGGTATCTGGGGTTTATTTACCTTCTATAATTGAAACTTTGTTGCCTTGAGAGGAGGCAGCAGCCGGCCGGGAAGCTTGGCTGTACAGATATTCCATGTGTGCACACACCTCTTATACAACTATGTTTTCTTTTTCTTCTAGTGGTTCCCCCTGGAAGTCCTGGGCCCATTACTCGGCATGGGTCCTATGACAGTTTAGCTTCCGACCACAGTGGACAGGAAGATGAAGAATGGCTTTCTCAGGTAAAACTCTGAAATGTTTGGCCTGTTAGAGTGAAAAAGAAAAGGAATCCATTGTCTGTTTCTATTCTTGAATTTTAAAAAGTATTTTCCTTAAAGGAAAATGGACAGAACTGGGACCTTTTATTTAGGACTGTTAATAAGATAGTCAGTTGTCTTTCCATATTAAGAATTTTTCCTAAATACTGTTGCAGGAATATATAACACCTATTATTTTATGCCCTCTGTGTGTGTGCATTAGCTTTCGTGCAGAGGGCATAAAATACACATCTTTCAAACAATCTGTTTATATCCCTGAGGACCTTGCGTTTTAGATGGACACTTTGGATTAACATAAGAATTGGCCTTGTGAAAACAGTGAAGTCATTCAGCATTCCCTGAGGTTTGTTTTGTGGGGCCAACATTTTCTGAAAATCGGGCCCATACTTTGGTCGGGGAAGCTCAGCATTCTAATCTGCGAGTCCTGGTTTTGCCCGACTGGGTTTCCTCTCCTCGGCTCATGCAGGGCTGCATCCAATGGTCTCTACAGTAGCCCTGCAGCAGCTTCTACAGACCCTTCCTCCCGTGCCAGGTGAAGCTGTCTTCATCTCAGGGCTTTGAAATAAAAGATACTTGGGCAGCCCTCAAAATGATGAGATTACAAATGACTTCATTACAAATCCTGTTATGTCTGCTTCAAAGCTGACATCATTCGGTGAAGCGAACGACCTGTCTCCGGTTACCAATCCAGCGGCTTTTCATCAGACAGGTGCCTCGGCGGAGGCTGGCGGCCGGTGTACTGCTTTCACAGGGAGGGTTGCCCGAAAAGCTAACTGGAATCTGGATGCCGGAGAAACAAATTGCTTCTAGGTGACACATGTCATCACGCCTAAAATACTCACGGGATGCTCCTTGAAGGAGGGTCAGTGTTTCAGTTCCTGGCAGATAGAGGGACATCCTTTCATGGGGATAGCACAATAAAGTGAAAAAAAAAAACACAACAAAAAACAGAAGACAGCTGGCAGAGAAACCACTGTCCTTCACCTCAACTTTTCAATTAGGAAAAGGGGTAAAGTGTGCTGTCAGTGTGAACATCCATACAATATGTTTGTCCCGCACACAACAGGGGAGTGAATAGGAACATCTGGCCATCGCCTCTGTGAAATTGAGCGGGCATCTGTTTACCTCTCGGCTCTGTGACACTGATGGTTTTGAGCTCAAAACACGCAGTATGCTTTCTCTGTGGCCTAATTTCCATTGCTGAATACAACTACTCAACTCAGAAATCACTGTCCTAAATCTGAGTGGTTGTCTCCCGGTGATTAGCGGGGATGTGAATATTGTTCCAAGAGCATGACGCTTTTTTTGCCCTTCAGAACTTACAAACCCAGATCTGTACTCTGTGAACCTTTTCATTTATGTTTTGTTAAGAATTAATCACCGCAATCAGACATGTGGTTAAATATAGTGGAACTCAGGGCAAAAGGAAGGCATATGGGAAGTCCATTCTATCAAGTACGTTCATAGACATGGATGTAACAAATTAGAAGACATTGAGAAATAGTTTTTCACCAAAGATTTGCATATGTGCGTCTTACTCACGTTGCTCATTTGTAAAATTACATACTACGTTTGTTTTCAAGTTTTACCCAGTGTCTTCTACTCTGCTTTCTCTTTAAATAGTTTCATTTAATATTGGCAGCATTCCCAGCCCCCTTCCATAGACTAAGCATGAAATTCATACAGCATTTTGGTTTTACTGTTTGTGGCCTTTAAAATACCTGTGCCACTCTTTGTGGTAGCTGAGAAAACATTCTCTTAATATAAAAGTGGAGTATGGGGTATTTTGAGAGGAGTTAATAAATATTATAATTTTTAAATGGAGCTTTGGGTGGTGAAAATTATTTTTTATCTGTTTTTCCCCCCCTTGGATAGTTTAAGAATAACTTCAAGCTTGTCATGAGCTTGGTCCTCAGTGCAGGATTCACTTTTAATGTGGATTTATAAGTGCAGTACTCAGTGCATGCCCAGAGTGGTAACTACTGTCTAGAATGAATGAGAAAGGTAGTTCCTAGGGAGTTGACCCTAGTCATGTGAGACAGGCGGCTGGTCCTTTTACTCTCATGTGATTTTTGTTTTGTATATGTGTGGGTCTGGTGTATGTGTATATTTACGTGTGTGTGTGTATACACATATATATGCACAAAATGAATTTTTTTTTTAATTTTTGTGAAAACCTGTAAGAGGGAGATAGTGAATGTCTGCTTAGGCTGTGTTTATCTTCACCTTTTGATTGTGGGTGCCCTGGCCCTCTTTCACTTGGTCAAAATGAATTTCTTTGAGAATATTTGTGTTCAGGGACAGGATGGGGGCAGATTATGAAAGGCTCTCAAAGGTCCTACCACATTTAAATCATGATTCCTAATCCGTTCCAGGTAGAGATTGTGACGCACACTGGACCCCACAGGCGTTTGTGGATGGGCCCACAGTTCCAGTTCAAAACCATCCACCCCTCAGGCCAGACCACAGTCATATCGTCCAGTTCGTCAGTGTTGCAGTCTCACGGTCCCAGTGATACTCCACAGCCCCTTATGGATTTTGATACGGATGATCTTGATCTCAACAGTCTCAGGTAAGAAGTAAGAAATAGCAGAGTCATTTGACTGGGTTAGAACTTTCATTTGTAATGAGCATCTTCAGCAACATTTACATTTCTCCATTCGGGCACAGCGTCCTGTTGCAGAATTCATGCTCTGTATTTTGTGATTCCTTATCGTTGGGGATCTCATGTGAGATCTCATTGGATACAATGTGTTTCGAATTATATTTCCCAATGCCACTTTCCTGAAACACTTCCAGAATTTCCTCAGGGACTTTCCTTCTCCTCACACTAAAGAGCTCCCACTATTGGTTAGCTAGTTGTACACCTGAAACCTGTATCATGTTATTAACCAATGTCACCCCAGTAAATTCAATAAATGAAAAGGCCAAAAAATAAATTGAAAAAAATAAGCAAATCCATAAAATTCACTGTGCAATTCAACATCCCCACTATTTAATGCCAGGACACTTCCATCACCCCTGTCAGTTTGTTTTTATTTTTCTCTTTTCTTACTATGAAAAAACTAGAGGCCCAATGCACACAATTCATGCAAGAGTAGGCCTTCCTTCCCCCAGCTGCCGGCACTGGCTTCCCTCTGGCCCCCGGGACCCAGGCTTTCCTCCGGCCCCGGCTTCGTCCGGAATGACATCTGGTCTAATTAGCATATTACTCTTTTATTATTATAGATTTTAAGCATATAAACATGTATAACATTAAAGAGAATAATAGAATAAACCCCATGTGTTTGTCACCCAGCTTCAACACATCGATTCTTGACCAGTCTTGTTTCATCCATAGCACCATACACACCTCACTCCCAACTCTGGATTATTTAGAAACTCTACTATAAATTGAATTAATATTAGGAAACTTACTCGGTTACATAAGTTTTTGAGACCAGGCAGGGGCTTACTTTGCCTCACCTGACCATAGACTATCTTTTTGTTTCTCTCAAGAATCGGAAAACATCTTTTGCAGAAATTTCAAATAAACTCTTCCTCTTTTCTCTGCCCTAACCATTTTCCCTTGGCTTAGTTAAAATAAGCTGGGGTGAATGGATATTGGGTCATACACCACACTGCCCACAATAGCAGTGATCAGTGTTTAATATCAACATTCCAACTTCTGGTACTCAATCAAGTGGATTTGCACTTCATCTCCCTCCCATTTCTTTCGTATAACAGATACATACACATTTAAACGGTGCTTTCAGTAGCTATGAACTCTTTTTCTGCAGTTCATACTTGGAATTTTAGGCTTGTGTAATCTGTCCCATGGTGATTATCAACCTCTTCTCTTCGATCAGTATCCACTCTGAACTCCATGCTTCAGTCAAATCATGCTCCTCATGGCACCTGCATTTCTCATGCTGAGTCACAAATCCAAGGGCTTGCTTTTCCTAGTTCTGTGCTTAATGGGCACCTCTTGCTCCTCTGCATGTATACATACCCTGGTACTGTATGCAGGTGCAATTCTTGTTACCCCTTGACAAACTCTTCTCCATCCGCTGTGGACCATTCATTCATTCCTCTACTTCTCAATTTGGAGCCTTTATTACCTTCTTCATTTTGACGTGTTAGTTGTCTTTTGCCTCAGTCATAAATGTCCATGTGCTTGCTATACCATATATCCACACATAGATCTTGTATTTCATGTTTTGTTTCTGCTTATTCCTAGAATAATAATGATATATGACTAATATTCAGCAAATACTTATTGAATAAACAAAGTTCCAAATGCAGGCATATATTCTTATAGCAAGTTTTTATTCTATTAAGTTGCTTAGGAAGCTCGGATTTTTTAGTCATACAGACATTTTTATGTTCTTGTAATTAAGATAATACACCTAGAAATAGACCTTTCTTATTTATAGATTTACCATTCATAAGCAATTTGAAATTGTATTTAGTAAATTGCAGTTTTGCTGGGATTCTAATTGATTCTTTCATGCTAATTTATAATTTTATGGAGGTAACTCAGATAGTAGTGATCCTAGCTAAACCACTGGCAGTCACCTTCACCACAGTTTTGCTGTCCTGTGCTTATTGTCATATATAAAGTAACTTTCACTGAGAGGTTTAAGGCAGTTACTAAAAAATGTGTATCGAGCCCTAACCAATTTGGCTCAGTGGATAGAGCGTCAGGCTGGGGATTCAAGGGTCCCAGGTTCAATTCCGGTCAAGGGCATGTACCTTGGTTGTGGGCACATCCCCAGTAGGGAGTGTGCAGGAGGCAGCTGATCGATGTTTCTCTCTCTATCCCTTTCCCTTCCTCTCTGTAAAAATGAATAAAATATTTTTTAAAAAATGTGTATCGAGTATTGCTGCCTTTTCTAGAAGCATTACTAGTTACTGCACTTTCCTTGAATGAGAGGATTCTCAGAACTCTTCATTTTTGCCTTTTGCAGAAGCCTAAGGTCTCTGTAGGAAGTATTTTGTTTCCTCTCCCAATCTATTTATTTCTTTAGATTAAAGTCAAATTTCCAATCCCTTACTTAAAATATATTAAATAACATACAAAGAGAAGCGGGGCTGGGTCAGGAGTTTAGAAAATTTTTGCTGTGCCTTGTGCAAGAGTTAGGGACCAGAGCTCCTCTGTTTGCCCTACTTCAGAATGAATGGTTCTTTAATGGATTGGGCTATGCCAGCATTCCTGATTTAAGGTCTGATGTAGCAAGCGACAGTTTTGATGCCAGTAACATATGCGAATTAAATTAAATTGCATTGCAGGATCCAGCCGGTCCGCTCTGACCCAGTCAGCATGCCAGGGTCATCCCGTCCAGTCTCAGATCGAAGAGGAATTTCCACCGTGATTGATGCTGCCTCAGGTAGAAAACTACCTCCAAAATGTTTTTTGGGTAGTTCTGTGCATTTTTTAATTTCTTTTTCTTGCACAGTGTAAAGAATGATAATATTTTAGCTTTCTCGCTTTGTTTTTAGTTTTGCTTTAGGATGTACGTGCTTGTGCGCTCGGGTGTGTGTGTGTGTGTGTGTTTGTTTTAAAACAATACTATGCCTACATTTGTTGCTGAACAGTGCCGTGCATTTAAATATTGTTGAGGTTGGTGGATGATGCGGTGGACTTGGCACTTGATTAAATGTAATGAACACAGTATTGAAGGCTACAGGGTTGATGACTGCTTTGCCTTTGATCTTTCAAATGTGGAGAAGCAACCTTGACAGAGAACGTAAATACAATATATGGATTCAATTTACTCAACCTGTTGAGTATCAAAGTGCCTGATCTGTGGAAGGAGAGAGTCCAAATGCTGAGGCTTAAACGGCCCTATTATTGAAAGCATAAAATTTAGAAATTCATTAACTTAGCTCTAGTCTATCTATCACAGTTATTAACTTCCTATCCTTGGGCCCATGCCAGGAATATGTATCATTAGTACCTGGAAGTTGGTCTCTGCCTCGGTTAGGTGAGAGTTGCTGCATCAGTATTGTAAAGCTGTTTTCTGCCAGCTCTGCCAAATATAGAAACTGTTTGCAATAATTTTCTCATCTCCAGATGGAGTGATAAAGAAAATAAGGACAGCAGTGCTTCATATTGTGGAGCAGCTGCTGAGCATCTGAAGATAGCACACAGCGGGGTTTCATCAAAAACGTCCCTTACAAGTAGAATTATTAAATACTTGGCATTAGGGAGACAGTTGAGTCCGAGAGGATTTTAATCTACAGCAATTTTAAAATCCCCAGAGACCGCTGATTTGATTGAGGCTTAAACTGTGAAAGAAAATGGGGAAAAAAAACCCAAAACTGATTTGTGAAGGTCACTTTTCAAAGACCATAGCTTCTGTTTCTGACTGTCTCTGGGTGGATTTTGAAGTTTTGTACATTTTCTTCTCTTTCTGATTTATTTTGGGGGGGGTCTGTGGATTGCACATCTGGGGCTCTGCCTTCACGTTTAATATAGACTCTTATATTAGAGGACCCATACTTGTTCTCCGATTTAACTTGGCAGTCACGGCTGTCTCCTGGAAATGAGGACAGAAATGCATCTATCATCGCTCCTGTGCATTGAATGCGATGTTGAGATAGGTGACTTAGGCGGTAAATCTTCTTGGCTATGCCCATGGGAAGATGCTAACAGGTCCTGCTCATCTGGGGTTATCACTTATAATTATGAATCCTGGAAATGATGTATTTTAACCTGAAGTCTTTCATTCAAGATTAGAGTAGTAGACTTTGTTGGGGTTTTTAAAATATTCCTAAACTGCTGTATTATCACTGTTTTAGAGTCAAGTGACTAGCAACCAGCCAAGTGAAGTACATGTCACTAAAGAAGTTGCCATGTATGTTATTAAATGTTGCCCTATTCAGCACTATAGCCTGAGGTAATAAAATACTTGTCATGTAGCACTATCTCCGTTTTAGTTCTTCATAAAGTTATCTCATGCCACAGAGAGGGACTTCAGTAAACTGTTAGAATTATGATTTTGCTTAACTCTGTCACAAGAAGAGTTTTAAAATCGATGTTTGAATACGGGAATGATGTCTTTGCCCTTGACTTACATTTCCATCAGAGACACGTCGTAGGAGTTTCTGGGGTGTTGTTTGACAGCTCAGAGCTCCTGCCTAAAAGCACCAACCTTGTGAGTAAAGAAAGGACTTCTTGGTGACCAGGCTCTGTTGTTACTTTTCTAGGACTATTTTCACTCCAGACAATCATAGCTTATTTTTGGAAGGAGCCAAAGCAATGACATGTGTGTGCTTTCTCTAGCTGAGCTAAAGAAACCCCATAGGTGAGGAATTGGACTTTTATGAATGATTCTCTCTCTCCCCAATTCTCTACTTCTCTACTTCCTTTTTTCCACACATTTTTTTTTTTTAAAAAATGAGTGAATAATGTTTTGTTGGGGAAACTTTATCTACTTTATCTGATGGGACCACTGACATAACAGATTTACTTTTCTATTGACATTTAACATGATAGAGGCTAAATGGTTTGGATCTTTTTGGAAACGTTTATGGGAAAATTCTGTTTTTGATTCTCCTATTAAAAAGAGTCTAATGATTTTTGTAATTGCTCCTGAACTAGGAAGTGCTTCCCCAATTATGACCCATGTGTTCGAGTCGGCTGCATGCTGTGAATATGCTTTTAGGAGTTTTGTTTGCCTTTGCTTGAGCAGCTTGGCGGCACCTCTGATGATGCGTCCCTGCTTTGTATTACCTTCAAGCAATTTGGACGGCGAAATGTACTATCCTTTTCATTGTTCCTGTGGCACATTTCTTAGCTCTCCCTCTGTGTTAATGACACCTTTTGCTCCTTCTGTCTAAACTGGTGGTGATACAATTATTTTTCATACAATCATTTTTCAGAGGCTTAGAATTTAAAATTTCACTGTTACGCGATTAAGTCTTTTGTTAATGTGACAATTTTCGAAGTGAAAATATGTTATTTGAACCTTGGCTCTGCGTGTTATGTTTTAGATATCTATGTATTATGCATTACGCTGGCCACGTTATTCTGTTGAAATTAAAAGCAATCATCATAGTTGTGGCACTTTTGCTAAGAAATAATTTCCCCCCCACAATTTCTTGATTATCTAGTGTATCTGTGCGTCACTGCTTCCCATGGAACACATTCCTAAAACATATGGTTTTACGTTAACTTAGGTGACTGAGGCATAGTGTAAACTCTAACCTTTAGGTATCTCTGAACCAGCTGCTCATGGTCTCTATATAAATATGTCTGATTTAGTCTCAGCAGATTTATAACTGAGAGGTGTTATTCCGTAACATGCTTCATCTGATCCTGGTGATCCAGAAGACACTGTCCTACCTGAGGTTTTGCACTTAGATGAATGTGACGTGTTCCCTTCTTGACTCAGGAGAAGACCATTCTGGAATTGGATTTGATAGGATCTTGTTGTTACTCACAAGCTACCCAGAACAAACAGAATCTGAAGGAACTGCTCCATTTTCCGGTGTTTCCAACTAACTAAGATCACTGTCTCTGTGTTATAGACAGTATTTCTAGACAAAGTACCTACTGGATTACTTACCATTGGATTTCTCTGTACATTCCTGTTGGTTAGGTACCTGAAGAGTTTCTTCCATTGTTGGTCCTTTATAACACGTGTCCTACATAGGTGTAGGGTCCCTGATGCGAAAACAGACAGGTAGTTCTCAGTGTCCTGTGGAAACTTTGTTCCCACGTAGGTGACGGATGCTCTTGTTCTGAGCCTTGTAGGCTGCCCCCTTTGGATAACTTAATAATAACTCTAGTTGCTTTTGAGTCACCCACACAGAGGACCTAGAAAGATCTAGTTCACCTGAAGTCTGTTTGTCCTGATTTATAGTTTTGCTATGGGCGTTGGTATTTACCAAGAAAGAAATCAAAGCAACTGAGAGTAAAAAACAGACTTATTCCTGGCTCGTATGAAGAGCAGACATCTTTGTCAAATTCTACTAAAGTAAGCATTCCATAGAGAAAAGTGTGGTTAGAAGGGTTGGGAGCAGCATTTAAGTGTAGTCCTGAGGAAGGTGACAGCAGAAGGAACATTGTGACAGATAAGTAAAATGAGTTCTTACCCTTTAGTGCAGACTTGGTTACATAAGGTTTCTCCTGCCCCATCCAGCGTTTCAATACATAGGGACAGAGGTGCTGACCTGGTATTTGTTCTTGTTCTTGACTCAAGAGAAATGTTATGTTCATTGTGCAACTGAAGGAATCTAAGTAACTGCTATGAAATTAATTCAGGAGACAATTTTTCAGCATGCAATTTTGCCAGTATCAAAATAATTTGTTTATTGAAGAAAATGATAGACTTAAAAATCCAAATTGGTTTCATTTGATTGATTTTTATAATAGTTCTTTCACCCTGCTTTACATTTTTGGCATTCAGTGCCTCAGACCTTGAATAAAACAAATAATACTTATTAGAAAAGTCGATAGGGCAGGCACCAAGGAGGTTATTCAGGACTGAAATCCCTGCTGGAGGGATGTTCTCACAAGAGACATGCTTCCACCATACAGACTTTACTGACAGGCAGGGGTAAGAATATTCCTAACGGTTATATCACATTGTATCCACAGTCGCCATTCCAACCTGAGGCAGACAAACTTAGCCACTTTATCTTAGAGCCCTCAGAGACACGAGATGCTGGTGGTAAGGAGCAAAGAGATTTGTAAGGAACACCATTCCTCCCGTCAACCTGGGTGAGGCCAGAGCTCCGTGACTCTAAAACTGAAGCCGAGTGACAAAAGCCATGACATTATATTCATGGCCTTGAACTGTTGCTGAAACCTTCAACAAGTTATGTTTAAGTACCTAGCCATTCTTCTGTATCTGTAAAAAGAATTTAAGGTTTCCTGTGCAAAAATTTGTTTCATTACCGCCCCCCCCTTTTTGGCAGGGATGTGTTCAAATTATTGCCTAAAATAACTTCCAGATATAAATGACATTAAGTTCTGTAGAAATACTGAAATATTTCTTTGAGTAAATGATGTGGTATTCATTTAATCGAGTTCCAGATAGTCTTTGTGATTATAAGGTGTCGAAAACTGCAAGCATTCTTGTACCTTGTGTATTCAGAGCTGGTGTGGGATCTGTAAGAGGATTATGGATGAGGGTGGAATTAAAAGGCGGCTTAGTCCTCACTTGTGAACAGTACCTCGGACAGGGGGAAAGGAGGTCAGTAATTTTACCTGGATACTTACTATCTGTAGTTGAAACAGCTAGTAAACAAACTCACACATAAAGGTTGGCATTTTAGTAGAAACGAGGAAGTTTATGCATTATTTCAACTCTACTCTAATGAACACCTATGATCTGTATCAAATAAAAAATAAGTTTTAGAGATTAAGAACATATAGAAA